ATGAAATTTTAGGCATAGATCTTCTTGGTCCCTTCCCCCAGAGCGAGTTAAATAAAAATCGTTTTCTTTTAGTAATAGTAGATCATTTTTCAAAATGGACAGAAATTGTTCCACTTAAACGCGCGTCAGCCAAAACAGTCGCAGATGCATTCTTACACAGATACATTTTAAAATACGGTGCACCGATAAAAGTCATTAGCGATAACGGAAAACAATTCATTAGTCAAATATTTGAAAACATATGCAATGGACTTGGCATACGCCATATCAAAATGGTTCCGTATAGACCACAGGCTAACATAGCAGAAAGAGTTAATAAAAACATAGTAAAAATAATTCGCAGTTACGTGAGCACACATCACAAGCGCTGGGATGGCTACATAAATGAATTAGCTTATGCTTTAAGAACGGCAAATCACGATACTACGGGAAAAATCCCAGCAGAATTATTTTTAGGCAGAAAGTTAATTACGCCTTTAGATAAATTATTCTTTGTGCAACAAAGAGAGAGCAGGAGTTTAAACAAAAGATGTGCAAAAACTTGATTGATCAGGCGCTTAAAAGCTCGGATACGGCAAGAAATAGGCAGAAAAGTATATTATGATAGAAAACGCCGTGAAGCAGATTTTAAAGTTGGGGATAAAGTATTGAAGCGGAAATTTTCTTTATCAAGTGCCCCAGACAATTTTACTGGCAAAGCTAGCTCCAAAATTTGAAGGCCCCTATGTAATTCAGGAAATCAAAGGAGTAGTATTATATCTTAAGAACGAGAGAGGGGAAATCTGTAAAGCAAGTCCCGACCAGGTGAAAAAATACTATAATCCAAATGATTTTGAAATCCTTAAAAGTTTCTTGCAGGACTCAAGTCTAAACGAAATAGAAGGTCCAGAGACTAACAACAACTATTCCACCACCCAAGAAACAGAGAACTGAAGAGAGACCTAGCCCTTCTACAACCCGGACGTCGGTATCAAAAAGAAAAAAAAACTTTTCAAACTCCAGCGTTTAAGAAAAACAAAAATACAGATGCACCGGGTAAAGAAACCGTGGTAAAGAGAAAACACCACCTACAAAGGATCGCAGGAGAAATTATACATCAAGGAGAACGCGCACCACGGCCACAGAGTCAGGTGCCAGCAAGGCCGCCGTTCCGGAAACTGAAACGGCAACAGGAGGAACAAAAATACGAGGAACAGAAGAAATTCAAGAAGGACTCCAGACCGGAGGACGTCAAGACCAGCCGTCCCAGGAAAAACGGAAAGGCCAACAACCAGACGATTACTCCGCCAAGAGGCCAGCATGTAGAGGACGCAAAAGAAAAAACTAATGTGGACGACACTCGGAGGTCAGTAAGGAGAAGATTGACATCCATGAAACCTCTAACTTGGGAACAATTTGCCAAAAACGAATGACGGAGTTTCAAGCATCGAAAACTCAAAGATAAGTTAAAACCTTCTATAATTTTTTTTCTCTTTTGTTCCGAAATGTTATGCATAAGTACGAAGTTCTATGTTTTGACGAAAGTCAATATGTCTCGGTTGAGACTTAGTTTTGTTTTACTTTATTTAGCTAAGGCAAAAGTATTATTTTCTTTAAGTGTAAAAGCTAAAAACAAGCATTTTCTGTTGGTCGAAAGACTAATTCTGTTATGTTAAAGCCAAAATTTGGCCGAAGATAAAAATAACTTCGTATTCTTGTATTAATAAGAATTTTAGTTTCAGTGCCGCCAGCTTGGCGAAGAATGAGTAAAGTAAAAATTTATTTTCTCTTATTCATTTTATGGTAAATTGTAAAAATCATATGTATTAAAATTTTGTAAATGTACGTAAATACTTGAATGTTATGTAAAAGTAGAATTTAGTCTAGAAGCATAAAATTGTAGATGCTAAAAGTAAAATGCTTAAAAGCAATGAAGTCAAAATTTAAGTATTAAACTTGTAGATAAAGTCATGCTTTAGAGCGAAAGCCTGCATGTTTAAAGATGAATGAGGGGGAAGTTAGAATGAATGTGTTTTGTAGGGTTCTCCACCTACACTTTGAATTTTTAAGAATATTAAAGTAGCTCATTGAGTGGTAGAATGTCGAGTAAGGTGTGTCTATTTGGTCGTTGAATTCTAACAAATCATGGTGGTTAGGGGAAGTGTTGTAAGACTAAAACACGAATATTCCCGTTTGACACCACACATGGTGGAGAGCCAGGGTAAAGTTAAATTAATGCTTGAAAAATTGAATGAATGTGAAGTAAGCAATAACTAAGAAAAACGAATCGTTTAAAAAACAAAAATTTATTGTGTCAAGAAAGTGTAAATTATAATGTATTTAGAAAGATACTGATACTTATTCCTTCCAGATGCTGGAAGGAAAAGACCAAGATTGATTGATGAAGTCCAGGAAAAGTTGCTGTAAGAAGAGAGAGTTATAACGATACACAGAATTTTAGTATACAATTTGTTACATAAGATTTTTTTTTTGTGTAAACGAGGTTCTCGCCAGTTAGTTCAGAATTAGATAGAAACTTACAACAGGTCGTTTGTAGGACCTGCTTCCAAGTTTTCCAAATTCTGGCAGCGGCAAATGTAGGGTTTATATTTATTTTAACTAACATTTATTTTAAGTTTAAACTATCTTTCCTGTCAAGCCTTACTTTCCCCTGGAACTGCCAATGCCAGAATATGTAAATTTTAGTAGAACGCGCAAGGATTCAAATTATCAGCGGAAGTATTCTGATTTAAATAGAAAGGAAACGAGTTCGGTGTGTGATATTCTTACTTCACGAGCGCGGAGGTAGTTAGCCAGAGAATTGAAGAACCCCGCGTTTCGGCCTGTGTGTGCTTGGCCTGGGAAGTAGTGTTAATCGTTCAAGTGAGCTTCAAGTCTGCTGAATTAGCAGCGGTATTGTAAAACGCGGTGAGTTAGTTATTTTAGAGAGCCTCGTAGTTAGAGTCTTGTCTTTAGTTTCTTTTCAGGTTATTATTTTTATTTGACCGCCGAGTTGGCGCAGTTTGTGAGCGTCAAGAGCACGCAATTGTAATTTATTACGTTGAATAAAAAGGGACTTAAACCCTTAACAAGACTCTGTCTTTTATCCAGTTTCACAGTCACCTCTTGGTTGCGTGCAAGTTGGAGGCGCGCAACGCAAGGTAAAAAGTAATTCTAAAAGTAATACGTGCAGGGCAAAGAGTAAGAAAATGAATGCTATGTTGCAAGGTTCTCTAGGCATCCTAAAGATTTAATAAATGCCAAAATTCGAATTGCAGCTTTAATTTTAGGTTTTAGTTCTCTTTTCAAGCAGTGTTATGCAGTTTGGGAGAAAAGATGAACTTAAGGGGAGAAATCAAATTTAGAATAATCAATTTCGAAGTTGCCAATAATTTCTTAACGTAGCCATCGTATTTTATTATATCTCACTCATGAAGACTGAATCTCACAATCACAATAAAACCTAGTCTTACTCTCCAAATATGCATACTGCAGTGTCTCCACCTTGCATAGAACCAATCTGTAGAGCACCTTTCATCTACCAACATCGTCAAATTTTACATTAGATTTATTTTTGATTGAATTATTGTCATTTTTGCTTAGTTTCTAGAAATAAGCCCCTCTCCCCAAATTTTTTTAAGAATTTGTTCTAATTATTTCTTGCATGGATATAAAATGGTATAAACTTAAGTAAGATTAAAACAGAAGAAAAGAATAAAATATCACTATAGAGAATACACTGTTTTTAAATTTTTTATGACAATGATGAGCGTTGTGTTGTTATGCCATATTACAAGAGTATTTTACATTTTTCATTTACTATTTAACCACTTAAAAATAAGACCGAAAAATTATCATAATGAACAGCATGGAGAAACATTAGTACTTGCTTATTACTACAGCCTGTTTTGTAAATGGCATTAACATTATAGATAAACTTCCGACTCAAATCATCTTCAAATGGCAGCAGTCCAAAAACAATCATTTATATTTTGCCCATGATAAAAAGAGGTCCAAATTAACCATATTTAACCATTAACAATAATTCACAATCGATCATAATTTTTTCATCATGAAAAGAGATCTGAATATTCCATGTGCTAACATTTTTTATTTAATTTAGAAAGAATGTTAAAAACATTTGATTTATTAAGAAGTAAAAAATATGAATATCATATCACTTCAGTACTTTTTCCTTTCCTTTAAAAATCAAGAGGGGGGGGAATTACTTGGTGAATAGCATGGAGAAAACTTCAAATTTTTTTAATGTATAAAAAAAAACATACAAAGACAAAAGTACTAACATGGTGCATTCTATATTTCAACTAAAATTAATGGTACTTTCAGATCACTTGCACCTTCCATCGAAAAATTCCAGCTCATTGGCAACTTTGTGAATTAGCAAAAAGAATATGCTTGGCTACTTTTATAGCTTCACAGTTACTGTTCTGTTCATAAAAAATAATAAAAAGAAGCATCATAAAAGAAATAAGAAATTTTATAAGAAAAATTAAAATTCTGTATGGCTGGTAATTACACCTTTACATCAGTGAATAACTATGATGATTAAATAACAGCAAAATGATAGTTAAATAAATATGAAGCATATAAATCTACAAGTACTTAAACATGCGTATCCATGTGTGTTTCAGTTACTCAAAAGTGCACCCAAATGCAGTAATTCTATTGGCTGTTGAAGCCAAGAGGGCAGACAATGAGAAAGTACTCAAATGTTATTTTAAATACTGCTTAAATTTACTTATATAGTATACTCTGACATCTGTCCATACTTGGTATGTTGCTACCATAAAGTTTCTAAATAACACTGAAAATATTGAGGAAAATAAACCAATAAACTGAAAAAATAAATGAAAGATCTGATGCCAAGCATACTAACAACAATTTGGTTTTTCATTCTGAATGTGATCTCAATGAAACGACAATACTAATGCCTAAAACAGACCATTAATTTTTTTTTAAATAAATCAGTTGAATAAAATATGCACTAAAAGAATACATACCTTCTTTATTTTATTCTTGATCTGAATCCCCATCACTAGAATAGACTTGAGTGTGAGGTTCTGGAGAAGATGAATGAATTGCAGGCCTACGTGTGAGACCTCGATAAAATGCTAACCATTCCTCAACCATCTGCGCTACTAGAAGTGGCCTCTTTGAGATTTTTTGCTGAGCTACAAGGATTCCACCTTCTGTAACACAACAGTCAAGCCATTGCTTCATAATTTCTTCCTCTTGGCCCAACTATTTTAAAAATTTAAAAAGGGTTTTTATAAACTTTTCAACTAATAAAAGAAATTAATTTTCTAAAACATCAGCAAAAATTATAGTTATTCTTCCATACTAATTTGCAATAATTAAATTTATGCATCTTACATTTATATTTGATGAAAAGAAGAGTGAAAAATTATATGTCATAATAAATGCTTTTGAACACTAAAAATCATGCAGTATAAAGACTAGTATGCAGTAGCCATAACCCTGCACATTTTTAGAATAAATGTTCAATTAATTGGTATACATTAGGATTTTGACCCAATTAATTAGCTGCCTCAATTACCTGAAAATTACTAATAAAATAATATAACACGCCAAAAGGTTAAACTATTACTTTAAATTATTTACATAACAAAGAAAAACAAACCTTATATATAATGGCTTAAAAAAACTTGTACTAAATTGCTCCTTTTTCTTCAGTAAATATATATATATAATATCATACACATAATATATATTTACTGAAGTTTTAAAATTAAAACTTAAATTACATACCTTTAGGATTTTTAATTTTTTTCTAGATTATTTATATATTTTAATATTAATGTTTGCAAAAAAATTTTAATATAACAAAGATAGCAGCTTGACACTCAACTTTACCTACATCAGCGCCATCTATATAATTTATTTGAAGAACACACTTACTTCTCTTTAAAAACACTTTTGCAGACCCCAACGCTCATTTGGTAGGTAAGTTAGAATTAAAACTTACTATTTACTTGCTTTAAGTATTTTTTAAATTTTTTATGTAGTATTTAAGTATTTTCTAGATATGAAATTATATTTTTAAGTATATATTTGTTTTTTAAAAATTGTGAAATAGTTCTTTATGTTTCTTATTGGTTTATATGGATTATGTCTAATTCTTTTTTAGTTTCTTTTTATTGATATGCACATTCGTGTCGGGGAGGTTTCTGTAGACAAGGGTTTCTAAAATACATTAGTTTCTAGATTATTTTTTATAAAAAATTAGTTTTTTTAAAAATTTAATTTTTTCAAAAAAGTTTAATTTAATACTTACTTTACTTGCTTGTTTCTCAAAAGACTTCATTGGTATTTTCCTTTTAGAACTTTAATTCTTAAATGCTAATTTCTAAGGGTACCACTTTATTGGTATTTCTTTTTGGACATTCTTCACTTTTTACTTTTGTTTTTGACTTTTACCCTTGCCTGCATGAATGGCGAAACACGAATTGAATGATTGGAGAGTTAGGTTTGGAGGCAACTTCCCCTTGATAAGTTTGTCTCCTGCCTGCTCAACAGTCATTCACTTATGCATTTAAAAAAAAATTGTTTGGATTAATTTAATTTGCTAAATTTTTTAATTTATTTTCATGGATTGGTTTTGCACTTGATTTGCTTATGCTTCTGAATTTAAATGATATTGTAGATTAGTTCGAGAATTAAATCTTTTATATGTTTACACATTTGGGGGGGGGGCTTTAAAATTTGCTTTTTTTAATTTTGGCTTAAATTTGCTTTTTTTACTTTTATATGTGTTTGTTAAAATTTAAATTTAATTTGTTTAAATAATATATATATATATATAGAGAGAGAGAGAGAGAGAGTTGTATATAAGAAACTTTTTAAATATATATTTGCTACACATAAAACACAGATAAGTGAAAATGAACCATCCTGTTAAAATTGATTACAGCAAACAGTGTAATTAGCCCATATTTACATCAAATTATACTTCATAGATTCAAGACAGGGGAACTTTTTTTGAGAGAAGACGGATATACAGTCAAAGTCGTTAATTCGGACACCCATAATCCGGAATGATCTATAATCTGGACCTAAAAGCTACAAACTTTATGCACATGCGTCGCGTTGAAGACCTTTACGGCTGAATTACTGAAGAAAAGGAGCAATTTAGTAAGACCTTTACGGCTGCGAATATGCGTACGAGCATGCGCGTTTAATGTATAACGGACAGTATAAGCTAAGCTAAAATTATCTAATTCAGTTAGCGTTGCAGATTGCGTTGTTCCTTAATCTTCGAATTGGATCCGGCTTATTATTTTTTGCAGACTGTTAGAGCAATTTTATAAAAGTAAGCTTGAACTTTCGATTATGTCAAATAGAATTAACGATATATATTTGCTAATATGTAAAGGATCTACAAAGCGAAAGTATGTTTCGAAGTCCATTAAACAAAAAGTGGAATTGCTGCAAAAAATGGATAAAGGCATATCCTTCGTTTCTCTAACCACTCCAAAATCTGTTTATCAATTTCACGCTGCTCTGCGGGGGGGGGGGGGGCAATGATTTGGAAGTTGACTGTCATCACTATCCTTATCTTCAGGGCAGATGTTTTTATTTTATTTGGCTTATAATTCCTTACTAAATGTAGTATTTCATCTTGATGTACTCCGTATTTGATATGATTTAAATCAAATTCCTTGTATTATAATTCACTTCCGATAGTGAAGAACGTGACACAGAGGTTATTGAAAACGAAAAAATGTCATGACAAATTAGTCGGTATTCTCGACACAGCAATTATAGGACTTCAACAGCGGAACTTTGTAACTGAAGAAGAAATTATGTCTGTTTATAGAATTAAAGAGAAAGTATTATCACATAAAACGAAGCAACTTAGACAACTTGCATTGAAAGAAATGTTTAATAAGTAAAAAAACAAATAAAAAATAAAAGCTTTTTTTTTTTTGTAAATTTTGATACCCTTTAGATCATAATTGTTCTTTATTTCATAAATTACGGTTTCATATTTTTAATTTTATAATTTCTGCATGCCATCTTACCAGATTTAAACCGATGATCTATAATCCGGAAAAATCAATAATCCAGAATCGCCGAAGTCCCGCCGAGTCCGGATTAACGACTTTTGACTGTACTAAAGATATCTTTGTTCTGTGATTGTCATCCAACCACAGTTAACTAAAATCTGTAATATCCAAGTCGCCATGTCAATCAAATGCTTAGCATCTATTGTTACATCACTTTATTAGCTAACTGAATATATAATAGTAAACCTTTTTTGCATGAGTTACAGAGAAATATTTAAACTGCAAAACTAAACAAAATTTTAAAGTTATGACAACAGTTGGTCCTGAGAAGAAATCTGATAATGCTGTTTCCTAATAAACTTATTAAGGTGATGAAGATTGAAACAGATACTGATAGTACTGTAGTTTTGGGGAAGAACAATTGGATTTACCCAATCAGCTGGTTTTGTAACCCTTACTATGTTTCTACCTTCTCGGCAATTCTTCTTGAAATTTTCTTTCTAGTGCTACAGGTATTTTTTTGAGCAGCAGTTTTTGAACAGGTAAAAATTCCTGTTGTAAGACAATTTTATATTTGTCAAAGAAAAAATCTATTCCCTGAAATACATCATTATATCTTTCAATCATGTAATGCGACGTTGAAAAATTAGTATGCAAATTATTTACGGAATAGATGGTTGCCTGATTAATTTATTGAATTAAAGCGAACACTGTACATCCAGATTCACAATCACAAGTTTTATAAGATAGCTGTATTTATTCACGAGACATTTCAGGAACCAACTAGTAGCAAAAATTTTGGTTGAAGTAATGGCTTATCAATTAATTTTTTTTAATAAAAGAATGTAAAACATTGTCCTGTGCACCAATATCCAATTTGAGAGTAACTAGGTATCCATTAGCACTAATTTATTGGAACCGATCGATTTTACTAGCTTCTGAAGCAGCACCAATTTAAGGATTATTTGGATGAGTTGAATCACTTCAGGACACTTAATGGTACTGTCTCAATGCTTCTTGTTTCCAAGATTGCCTTCAAACACTAGAAAAAATGATTCTGCATTTCACAATTATTTCACACTTTGTCATCAGATATAATTTCACACTTTGTCATCAGATATATTTCACACTTTGTCATCAGATAATGTCTTGGTAGATTTTTTTGACAATATAAGCCGTCTGAGCATACTGTGAACGAGAATTTTTTGATTCTCTAAGAATTGGTTTGATTTATATATATGGATATAATGAATAAACCTTGGGGTGTTCTCTAGAATTCCATCTGGAACAGAAGCTTAGCAGTTAGCAAGGCCTGGTGATACCTAATATGCCTACCAGCATGCATAGGAGCTCTCTTTGCTTCAGCATATACCTGTAAATAAGGTTCTGGCTGTACTGTGTGAGAATTGTTATTCTAGCCATTTACACCTCTTGATGACCCTCTATCTCTTACACGATTAACAGCATCAACCTGTGCCAACCATTACAGATAACTGTAACACCGCATATGGAGGCAATTGGAAAAGTTCAGTCGATTAGCAAATTTCAATAGTTTTCTGTCAAGTGAGCACTAGTTCCTTAAGCAAATACTCATGAAGCACATAATCTCTCAAGGACAAGATGCAGGACAAGATTTTTTTATTTTGCAATCATAAGCAAGTAAAGGAATTATATTAAGTAAAGGAAGTATTATAATTGCAAAAAATTTTGAATATCATATTTCAACAGAAATATATATTTTGACTACTTTTTTGCCCAATGTCTATGTGCACAGAAAGAATAAACACATGTTTTTTCCAAAACAGATTGTAAAATGGATTAAAAATTGATTTTTTTTAACAACTGTACACAGGCATCTTATATAACTAAAAATGATTCAGCCACAGAACGCTGAAATTTTGTAACTGCTGTAGCATCAAGTTATGCACCTTCCTTTTTCATTGCTATCAGCAGCACTCGGCCCCTCTTACAGCTTAAAAGTCCTCACCCGGCCTTTATTTTTGCAATTACTGGTCATAGTCATACACTTCCAATTACAGAAATGTTTTAAATGATGAAAATAATTATGTTTGACAATGTCAAATTTTAAAAAATAAATAAATAATAATTAATTTTGGACAAATAATGAGAAATCTAACTTTTAATGCGATCATCCAGTTCCTACACATTTGGAAAAGTTTTAAATTAGTTATGAAGAAATAAAATTATAAGAAGTGTCATGCTCCCATGACAAGCATTGAGTGGGTTATTTAATTTCAAAATTTGTAATTTTTTATGTCATTTTCAACTTGCCTTGAGGTATCAGTTAATTAAGTTAGAATAATTCAAGGAAATTAAATGCAACAAAAAAATTGTATAATAGGACATACAAGGATGTGGTATCCACATCAGATTTCTTAATTATAATCACAAAAAATCTCAAATTTCTGCATTAATTTTTCAAATGGAAATAAATTCTGAAATAACACTAACTAATAACTGTTATAAATCTCTTCTTATAAATGTGAAAGTCTTCAAGTGTGGAAAATCATAAATTTTCCAAGCAATAATTCACAGTTATAAGTTCTCCATTCAGAATTTTTTCTTATTCTTGTCATATCACATTTTTAAATTTACAAAGGTATTCTTATGAAATATTGCGATATAATCCACTATCAGTTTCACTCAAATTTCCTTCACTTTTTTTGATGATCATCAGTTCACTAACTTATATTTCTTTACATAAGAAGTTGTTCAAAAACTCAGCAAATTTTACATTTTTTATAAAGTTTTCTAGGAGTCAAAGATTTACTTAACTGCACAAATTTTTCAACATTTTCACATCTGCAAATAACACTGTCAATGTGAAAAGTGAGATTTCCAGTGTTCTTTTAATTTTCCCTCCAAACTGGCTTGGTCATTCATTTGTCTTAAAATCTTATGTTAATCTTTTTAACGATAAAACCTTTTATTTATTACAAAGCTATTTAATATGAGAAAGGAACATATGAATCAGCGAGATCTATAAGAAGGAATTTTTTTGTGTTCTTTAGTACAGACGCTCGAAACCACTCTTCTAATTTGTTCTAGCCTTTCAAAAATTGAGAGAACATCCAATATACAGCACTAAACATTTTTGTGATGAATTACCAACTTCTCAAGAATATATTCCAAGACAACAATAAAGAGATCCATAATTTCTCTTAAGCAAAGATCTAATCTTGAAGGTAAATTATTTTTCCTGGGTACGGAAAAATACATATAAATAAAACTTAGACAAAGCTCTGTAAATGAAGCCATTTACTATTGAACCATTTTGAGAATTTGAAAATTTATATCTAACTGAAAAGCTTATAAATGATATTTTAATAAACAAAATGTACATTGGAATAGTACTGAAAATATTAATCTGATAAACATTATCCAAAATAAGCTATTTGGAAATTTTGGATCACCGTTATAAATTCACAGCTCCAACAAGAACATAGCAAGTCAAAATTCAAATTCATTACTTACAACTATCAACTCAATATAATCATTATTACTGAAGATGGTAAAAAGAATGGGAACATCACTGCAGGGAATTTTAAAATAGATTCTCAGATGACACTCAGAATGATTTTAAAATGAAAAACCATTCAAATTGGATTAAACATGTAAACAACGATTTACAACTATAACAGCAATAACACTTGTATTATCAGGTAACACAGGGATATTTCACAGGCATATATTTAATTTCACAGATATTAACAGCAATAACACAGGTATTAAATAATACAGTCAATGAAATTTTTACTTCTTCTTGAGTCAAGAAGTGCACTGGCAGCCTCTGATGATCAACTGTCATTAGGGGTAAAAATATCACTCTTAAGTCATCACCAGAACGTGTATTTGCACCAGCTCCTAAAACATCTTCTGTTTCAGGTTCCATGGCTACTAAAGCTGTAAAGTGACCACGCGTATAACCCAGTGCAATTGGAGACTTCCAACAGAATGTTGGTTCCCATAATAAAGGTAAGTAAATGCCTAAAATATAAAACATTGGTTTAAAATTACTATAAGGAAGTTACAAATGCAACATTTTAGAGTCAAAATCATTCAATTTAGAGTTCAGAAATACAGAGTACAGAGTATTCAAGAACAGAAAGACATAATTAAGAAAGGTAAGTATTTAATGGGAGAGGGGTAAAAAAAAGATATTCTGTAAAGTATTTAATGGGGGGGAGGAGATATTCTGCAAAATGATTTTACACAGTAAAAAACATTTCACGCAGCATTTAGGGAAAATATAAACTATAAATATTTCAAGTGATATTATCACTATTATTAAATGAATGAATTATGCAATCAACAGATATCACTTAAAAACTTAAAACTTATCTTGTTGATAATAATTAGGAACTTTTATAAAAATTCAAATATTCAGAAAAGAGATGCTTTTACAAAAGGTCACTAAGATATAATTACAGATTTCTTCAAAAGACAAAATTTTTATAACATTACGTTCCACAAGTTATTGCATGGCGCAGTTAAAAATTTGTAAAGTTTCCACTTGTTGGAACTTAACTACTAAATGAACTTAGTATTCATTAAAGCCTTACTAATAATATAAACTGTTGTTTTATATACATCGGGTTTTAACGAAAGTTTCCCATCACCACAATTATCGTCTGTGCAAATAGTTTGCACTGGCATGTTTAATCATAATTTGTCAAACAATTTTTGACATTTGAAAGAAAGGAATTGCTTTAGAACACTGTATTGTGAAATTTGTAAAATAATATTGTTACCATTAAATACAAGGTGTCTGCAATGGAACTACTACGCTACCAGATTAGAACTATCATTTACTTCCAATTCTGTTGCAAAAAGTCAGATACAGAATGTCACCAAATCATTTATACAACTTTAGGTACTAATGTTGTATCACATGACACTGTGAAGGTTTGATACCAAAAGTTCAAAAACAAGGACTATGACATTCCAGAAGCAAAGGGCTCTGGCCAGCCCATTGATGTTGATGAGGCCCACCTGTGAGAACTTGTGGAAAAAATTAGTAGGCAATTACTCAAAAGCTTGCTAAGGAGTTAGATTTTAGTGCCATATCCATTAGTCCTGCTATGCATTGTATACACTTGATGTACAAGTTAAATCGCTGGGTGCCATATGAGCTGAATACAGCAGATAAATACAGATGTGTTCGCGCCAGCACTAATCTGCTCGAATATCAACGCAAGCACAAAATTCTGGACTGGATCGTCACTTGTGTTGAAAAGTGGATTTACCTCAACAACATAGGCCAAAAAGGGGATTGATCTGCGCCCGGTAAGCCCACTGGCAATGTCACAAAGTGCAACTTGACTAACAAAAAGATCATGCTTTGTATCTGGTAACATTGCCGTGCACACAAAGACTATCTAGAAAAGGTAAAACCCCCGACAGTAAAGAGTAGTACATATAGCGAGATGCTAGTCTGTGTTGATAATGATATCAAGGAAAACCCTCATACTGAGTTTTGGTGCAAAAAGGTAATGTTCCATAAAGATAATGCAAGACCACATGTGTCTGCATTCACCGGCTGGACTCTGTAACGACTCGAATAGGGATCTTTTGCCACACCCACCCTTTTGCCCTGACATCATTCCATTGGACTTCTACCTTTTTTCACAACTGCAGCTACATCTTGCTGGAGCTATCTCCTATGCACAGGGCATCTGAAATGAGGTTGATCTGTTTTCGTACTTGCACACAGTGTTGCCAGAAAATTTTCAACTACAGTAGCAAAAGAAGACTAAAAAATTCGCAAAATCACAAATGATGTCAGATATCACGTAATTTTTGTCACGTCATCGTTATGCATGCTCACATGACCTCTGATATCATCATACATTTACCGTCTATTTGTTCTGTAAGTTACAGACTGTATTTGATTGTTAGTGTTTTTAATTAAGTATCTTAGCTTTAGCAAAAATTTTAAAACTATGTTGCTCATTTTCAATTGTTTAAATATCCATTTCTTTTTTTAATTAATTCTCATCTAGTTTAGGTTTCTATTTTTAAATTAATTTACGGATAACATTCTAATGGATACATTCTTAAGAGATTCCTCGCGTTTAGACTATTAGAGCTTTTGTACTGAATTTTTTGAGTTGGCAGTTAATTTTTTTAATTCAGTTTTTTTTTCCCCTTAATTGTGAACCTTTTAATTGACGAATGCTTTTCAGTAAGCTTTCCATTGTGTGTGGTGGATCTGTTTCAGATTCTGATTACTTAAGAAAGCCTCGTTCTTTCAATGTTAAATTATTTGTATTGTTATTTAGAAAAATGCCGTTACTTTGATTTTCAAGTCATTTTTATTGCTTAGTTCATAGCAATATTATAATCAGAAGTTATTTTATTCTCTGTTTGAGTACCCAGTATATGCAAGCAAGATGCAAACTCTTTGGTTCGATTCATTATCACCACAGAACTGGGAGGGGGAACTGACTTAAAAGCAAAACGCACAGCAGACAAGGGAGGGTGGTGGAGAGGTCCTGAAGCATTTTTTTCTTTCTTTCCACTTTTTTCACTTCCTTTACCCCTTACTTGTTATACCAGCATCAGGCTGTGCAGCCTTGTAAATGAAAGCTCACATATAAATCAGATTGCCAGACATCAACTTCCATTTAAGCCTAAATGAACTACTTTTTTTAAATAATAAATTATTTTTAATTGATACATTATTTTAACACAGAAGCATTTTACGATATATTAAAAAAATCTTTGAAGTCACAAAAAGGAGCATAAGAAAACGATGGATGTCGTAAAAATTTTGGAAAATCGCAAATACTAAAATTTTTGTAGCACAAATTAGTCAAAAGTCGCAAATTTGGGAAAAATCACACGATTCAGCAACACTGCTCACAGACACCGAGTTTCTGGATCAAAGGCTTTGAAAAACTACCAAAACATTGGTAGAAAATCATAGATCTGGGTTGTGATTACTACCTGCACTAAAGGTATTGCTTTCATGTTGTTTTTTTTAACTTTACCAAGAAAGTTTTTTGGTGGAAAACTCTTACAATGAGATATTTTGCATGTTATATGTATTAGATGCTGAACAAAATCCCACGGAATAAGGCATTTCCTTAAGTATGCTTTCAAAGTGGCTAGCACATCCAGGTAGCGATTGGAAAATCCATGGTTCTTCATATTTCCTATTCTAAAAAAGATTAATAATCGCTGTAATGGAACCCAAATTTAAATATAATGATGGATAAATTGCCATCACTTAAATTTGATTGAGTAGTACTTCTCCCTAATCACCCTTTAAGTGAAGCAAAATGTAAGAAATTATTTCTCCCTGCATGGACTTTAGTGGCACATTCAGCTATCAAATAAAAATCTATGATTAGAATCTTTGTGTAAAGCAAAGTAGATTTTCCACAGTTCCTGCTTTATAAAAATGAAATGTCTCTACAAAATAATCTACAGGAAAGAATATATTAGGAAAATCATAGGGAAGAAAAAATATATTTACAGCATGTTCATCAGTACTATAGTACAGTCTGTTTCAGAAAAATTATACTATCTTTACAAATACATAATTTATTTGATATTACAAACACAAACATATCTTACAACAACATCAATATTTCCTTAAAGAAGTTGCACGCTGAGGGCCTTCCAAAACAGGTGGGCTAGTGATTCCATTCTAGTTAGCAGACTGATAAAATTTAAACTGCAGTTTTTATGTTTCAGAATATATATATTTCACTTATATACAATAGAACCTCGAGATACATGTTTAATTCGTTCCAGCATTGAGCTCATATAGTGTATTTCTTGTATCTAGAAACAAACTTCCCCATTGAAAATAATGGAAATCCTGTTAATCCATTCTGCACCCCCAAAAATCTCATTATCATCTCATCTTCAATTGATATACCTGGTGTTTTTCAGAGAAGATCCAAGTACAGATTCTTAGCCTTAGCGTAAATGATAGTTTTCAACACTGAACTGCCTTTTAACTGCTTCTCGTTAATCCACAAAAACAGCAGCTTCTCAACATCTTCTGCGAATTTTGGACGGTGCTTGGAAATCACAGTAACTCCTTTGGCCACATCAAGTTTCTTAATTTCTTCCTTCTTCTTCAGAATAGTGCAGATCATTGATGTCAAACAGCCATAAGTTTCTGCCAATTTCAACACTCTTACACCCCGCTTATGTTTATCTATGATTTCTTTCATAATTTCAATGGCCATGGCTTCCTTCTTTTTCTTTGCAGCAATATCTGAGGCAACAATCTTCTTCAGAGGCATCGTGAAATAATTATTTTAAAAGTAAAAAAACAATTAACTCACAAGCACACAGACAAGTAGATCAAAGACCACTGAGTTATCTGACAAGAGTATTTACCTAAGTCGAGCCAGATCGGGAAACGCGTCACGCATACCAATAGCCTGGCTCATTGCTCGTTATTCCAATCAATGCTCATATTTAGAGGCGAATTTTTCATACTTTCATTTCGCTCATACTTTCCTTGTATCTCAAATTTCTCGCATATAGAGGTGCTTGTATCTCCAGGTTCCACTGCATAACAATAAACTGACATTTAGATGAACATTTTCTGAAACACCATGCCAATTCCCCTACATCATTTACGCATCTTAAATCACGCTCTCATAGCAAATTTTGTAAGAATTTTATTGAAGCATTTCAGTTATTTGTGTTAAAGGTTTGGCATTAATTTCAACTTTGTGAAAGAAATAATTTCATTTAGTTTACACATAAAATATTTGAAAAAATTCACTCATACATGCGAATACCTTAAAGTTTCCCCCAAAAATTAATTAGGATGAAAGAAATACTATTAAACCAATCTAAAAAATACTACATTAAATTTGAAATCACTGTCAACATTATTTTTAATGTTTATATATATACAGAGAGAGAGAGAGACATACATTTGCCAGAAAAATATCTATACACAAGACGGAATACTTCAAAATACTGAGAAACTGAATGCTAAAGAAGCTGCAACCCTT